GTGGGGTAGAAAGGATATTTGTGGGTCAAACAAGACCCAAGGTTCCGGACTCGTTTAGTAAGGTGGAGTGTGCATCTTTGAATGGTGATGCGTCTGAGGTGTGGAGACGCTGACGGGAGCCAATGAGGAGGGCCTCTATCTTGTTGATGCAGAACTGTAGAAAGTTAGCTCTCATCCAGGACTTGACATCTAATAAAACATTCTGTCTGGACTGCAGTGGTCCTGGAGTCGAGAGTGGAGGCAGAGGGATAGAGTTGGGTGTCATCCGCATAAGGTTGAGGTGATAGGAGAGACAGTGGAGGAGGATAGATTGGTCAATATTATCGAAAGCAGCAGAGAGGTCAAGGAGGATGAGGAGGCAGAGGGAGCCCTGTTTGCAGATGGACAGAATGTCATTTGTCACTTTGACCAAAGCTGTTTATGTGCTGTGGGCAGCACGGAAACCCAATTGGAGGGGTTTGTGAAGGGAGTGTCAGGAGAGGAAAGAGCGAAGCTGGGAAACAATGACTCGTTCCAGGATCTTGGAAAGGAAAGGGAGGTTGGAGATGGGGTGGTTTTTTGAGAGCAGGGATAAACATATAAAGAGTAAAAGGATGGTCAAAGGAAGCGTGGGGTCGATTAGGGACCAAAAAGGAAAACTTCTTGTGGAGGCAGAGGCTGACGTACTGAATGTGTAATTTGCATCTGTCTTCACAAAAGAAGGTGCTGCCAATGTGACAGTGTAGGAGGAGCAGACAGAAAAATTGGATAAGCTAAAAATAGATAAAGAACTTAAAAGGTTAGTAGTGCTCAAAGTAGAAAAGTCACCGGGTTCAAATGGGATGCATCCTAGGTTGCTGAGGGAAGTTAGGATGGAAATAGCCATCTGGCCACAATCTTTCAATCCTCCTTCGATATAGGAGTGGTGCCTAAGGCCTGGAGGGTTGCTAATGTTAAACCCTGTAATAAATGGGTTCCTCATGATGTAATAATACAAGAGTTAATGTTTTAATAACCAAAGTCAATACATACAACCAGGGACAGTTCAGATTCAAAGGCAGTGATCCAATCCTTCCTCTAGAAGAGAATGGCAACTTCTTTGTGTTTGTTGTTGATCTTGTTGATCTGCCCTCCTTCTCCTTTGCCTTGGTGTCCGAGTCTTTTAAACAGACAGTCCTTCCCTCTCTGTGTCTCTGAGTATCTTACGTAGACAGTCTAAGGGATTTTCTATCTCCGTTTCGGTATAAAATGGCGTTCGTCTCACTCCTTTTCTTGCCATGCAGCCGCCCTGACTTTGCCACTGCGCCCGTGTTATCCCTTCCCCAGATGGCTCTAGCACAGTTCATGCTGATTCTTTGTTTGCAACAAAGTCTATGTTACACAGAAACCAGCCCTAGATGAGGTGGGTGTAGGGGGGGTTTCAGCTGCATTGTTTCATCAGCTTACAACCCCTGTTCAAAAAAGGGGAGAGGGATAAACTTGGTAACTGAAGGCCAGTCAGCCTAACATCTGTGGTTGGGAAACTTCAAGAGACCATATTCCAGGTAGTGCAGTTGATGTAGTGTATACCGACTTTCAGAAGGTGTTGACAATGTACCACATATTTAGCAAAATTGAAGCCCATGGGATAAAAGCGACAATGGCAGCATGGATATGAAATTGGCTGTGAGACAGACAGCAGAGGGCAGTAGTGGTTGTTTTTCAGACTGGAGGGAAGTATACAGTGGTGCCCCCTAGGGGTCAGTATTAGGTCCACTGCTCTTTTTGATATTTGTGAATGACGTGGGTTTGGGTACAGGGAGCAAAATTTTAAAGTTTGCAGATGACACAAAGATAGTAAACAGTGAGGTGGATGGTAGCAGACTGCAGGAGGACTTAGACAGGCTGGTGAAATGGGCAGACACATGGCAGATGAACTTTAATGCAGAGAAGTGTGAAGTGATGCATTTTGGAAGGAAGAATGAGAATCAATATACAATAAATGGTACAGTTTTAAAGGGGTTCAGGAACAGAGAGACCTGGGTGTTCACCTGGAGGCAGGACAGGTTGATAGAGCTGTTAACAACAAAATTACATTTGTATAGCGCCTTTCACGTCTGGAGGACGTCCAAAGGCGCTGGATAGTCAGAGTTTCGCACCCGAACTGGGGGTCGTGATTGGGGATGGTGGAGGGCAGGGGTGAAGTAGGGTGATCAAAAGCACGGTTGAAGAGGAGGGTCTTGAGATGGGTCTTGAAGGCGACAGGGGAGGGGTGGGGGCGAGATGGAGGGACTGTGGAATGGAGGGTGAGGAGGCAGATTGGCAGAGTCTGCCAATGGTGGGGCGGGCAAGGAGGGGGACATGAAGCAGGCCAGAGTCCACTGAGCGGAGAGAACGGGCAGGATAATAGGGGGTTAGGAGGTCACAGAGGTAGGGGGAGCAAGACCATGGAGGACTTTGAAGGTTAGGACCAGGATCCTTTGTATTATGTATTATTTTGTATTATGGAAGCCAGTGGAGTCAGGCGAGGATGGAGTTGATAGAGTCACGGAGCCTGGTGCGGGAACGGACGCGGTCAACAGAGTTCTTTTTTTACACAGAGGTCTGAAATGCTCTGCCTGAAAGGGTGGTGGAAACTGATTCAATAACAACTTTTAAAAGGGATTTGGATAGGTACTTGAAAAGGAAAAATTTGCGAGGATATGTGAAAATAGCGGGCGAGTGAGACTCATTGGGTAGATCTTCCAAAGAGTTGGCACAAGCTTGATGGGCCGAATGGCCTCCTTCTGTGCTGTAATATTCTATGATTCTATGCAACATGGGCTATGACAGATTATACATATTCTTACAGCTATCATAATCCTTTTAGGTCTTTGTAATTGCCTCCAATCTATATCCCATTAGCCTTGTCCTCTTAATCTTTTAAAGTGAGGTCACACTGTAAATAATTATGGCTCACAGAGGCACTGCATGAGAATATGAGAACATTTCCTCTAAAGCCCTTCTGTAATATCAATATTAGTCAATAATATTAACAATTCTTATCTATCATTCCTTATCTTGTTAAATTCTAACAGTCTAAGGAAGAATCTAACTGCCAGATAAACTAAAATGGTGCATTTACTGTGCATTTGATGAGACAGAAATGGGTTGAATTATCTTTATATTGATTGGCACTTGTATTTTATTATATTTTGAGTTGTACAATAAACCAATTGTCATGGGATTCCCTATATTTTATGAAATAATAGTTATAGTAATAATAATCCTTGCTTTTGATACAGCCTCTTATCAAGTTGTTTCAATGTCTCAAATCACTTCACAGGATATATGTAAAGTGGAGTGACTGTATTTTATGGGCAAACACTTAAATATTACAGTTTCATGTGTGTAACTATTTGCAGAATATTTGACAACAAACTGATATACATGGACACCAAAGAACACAAGCAACTGCATCTCGGGGCTATGCTGCGCATCCAGTGAAATGTTTATATGTAGCAACAACCCTGGTAAATAGTGACTAGGTTGTCTTTATTGCAATAAACATACTGAACAAACTCAAACAGGTTTGATAAATGCCATGGATCAATGCAGATTTTCAGTTTAGAATTTGGCTGAAAATTTTTTAGTTTTTGAAGAATTAAATTTTGAAGCACTGGACAGATTTTTAGGTGGGAAAAGAGATAACCGAATACAGAGATCTGGGAACACTTTGACAAACTGAGCAAAAAACCTTGACATGCTTCGTTAACATTTCAATATGCTTCATTAACACTGACTCAACTTGTCAAAAATAACTTGTCTTTATATAGCTCCTTTCGTGTAAATAAACATCCCGAAGGACCTTAGAAAAATTCGATTAATTAGAAATGAATTGAACGTTATTTAGACAAACTCGGCAGCTAATTTTGCCGGCAATGCCCTACAAACACGCTCACTTAGCACATTTGACGCAGTCCACGAATACTTTGGCAGAGATCTACATTGTTGACTGAGGATAGTTTGCAGAATTTTAACGATACAGTTTGTGATTTTTAAATAATCGCACCATTAAGGCTTAATCGGGGGATCATCGCGGTGAGTTGAATCTTTCCTCACGAGCGAATCTCCGGAGAGGACCACTGGATCGTGATAGACAATGATAAACAGAGATAGTGATAGACATCCCTCTCCCTCAGTGTCAAACATAAGGGATAAAAGAGGTGACGGGGGGGGGGGGGGGGGGGGGGGGGGGGGGGGTTCAATGTGACACACGTATTAGAAAAGTATTGCTATCGTTCAAGTTTTTTAAATGTGAAGTAATGTTGAACTGTTTTGTATTTGTAATTCATCATTAATATTGGGGGTTTCCGTAGGGAGACAGACTGCTGTTTGGGGGCAGACTGGCGTTTGTTTATCCCGTGATGTCAGCACCACAGGACACGCAGACTGACTGCTTTCTGTGAGGTGGACAGCGCGACACGTATAACAGGGATCGTGAGTAATATTTTACTACATCTCTAATCTTATTTGTTTCAGATTACTATTGAGAAACATCGCTGGTAGGAATTTAAGTGAAATAAGGACAGAACAGGCAGAGCTGAGAAAAGATCGCTCGGTTCAGCAAAGCTCTTATCTCCAGTGCTTCTCCCACTCCGGTATCAACCTACAAACCTCCCAATACAGGGTCAGGACTGGAGGTATATAATGTGTTACAGAGGGGGCGTTTCCATGTGTGATTGGGATATATGGAAACCTCAGTTTGCTTTGCACTCTCTTGAGCACAATGATGGGTTTCTGTATAACCAAAACATGTGATTTGATGTAAAATGTTAAGAATTCCCAACCACCGCTGAAATTACAGGACAATGACACGTGTGAAATAAAACAACCAGTGCTTTCTACCCCCTCACAAGTTCCAATCTGATATTGGTTTTGATTTCGCACAGTGGAGAGCAATGAAAGCACCAGAGCAGCGCCCCCGCCCCGCCCCCACCCCCCGCCCCCGCCAGGGGAGAGGCCGGAGCACAGCCACTCACAGCCACTCAGTGACTCGGTCCGGGGTTAGTGCGCAGTGAAAACAGAGCGGACAAACCGGTGAGTGTGGAGCCCGGGATCCCCCGAGAGGCTGAGACGGCAACACGCGGGGCGGCGAGAAGACGGCACAGTTGTTGTCCGCAATGTAACGCCAGAGGCGGAGCTGCTTTTAAATCGTTGATCAAATAAGTTTTGATCCCACGGGTATTTAGCTCAGACCCGGTCAGGCTGAGGCTGCAAACAAAACCGAGTACAAAATGACTCCCGCCGCAGAGGTAAAGGAGTATGAAGTGTCGGGAGGAGCGGCGCCGCCTGAGCAGCGAACATCGCAATCTTCTGAGATTACTAATGAGGAAGTGAGAGGGAAAACCAACCATCGGGTCCCGGGATTAATGGACCTGTTAACGCACTTTGCGAAGGCATTTTTCTACCTTTTCCCCGTGTACCTGACGGGTTACTTCGGACTGAGCATCGCCTGGATTGTGTTCGGGCTTTTCGTGTGGATGTGGTGGAAGAAGAACAGGAGCGCGAAGCTGTCTCGGTTACAGGCGGCGTTCAGATTGGTGGACGAGGAAAGATTGGTGATTACTAATGAAATCAAACAGGAGCTGCCTCCATGGGTACGTGTGTATGTATGTGTACGTTGGGCAGGTTTCCTTACCCTACACAGCTAAGTAGGAACCCAGTTGTTAGTCAAGTGGCGGATCACTTTTCCAGGGGTAATATTTCTTTCAAAAAAATTAAATAAATAATAAATTGGCCAATCCACGACTGTTTGGGGGACACTGCTGCACAATATATTCTGTGAAACGCTTTGAGACACCTCGAAGATGCGATAAGGCACTATATCAATTGCAAGGTTTATTATAAAATGTGCGCATGCAACATTTAATTATTTATGTATGTAAAAAAAAGTTGGCCACTAACATGCGGCAACATCATTTTAGGATATTGAAGTGAGTCACTTTTGCCATAATGATCCCTTGGGAGTTCAACCACCACTGCAGGGGCTGAACAGCACCTGTGCGATCCCTGGATACATGATTGTAATGATTGTTACTTTGACTGGTTGTACCCACCCATGACCAGAATGTCGAGCTTAGCCCTGGAATGTTAAATGGTAAGGTGATACAGAGCTTTTACACTCACAAGAAGATGGTGCTTTTTCTTGGGTTATACCAAACTGGTAGCATTGTTTTCTGCATTCCAGATTTTGTGGATTACAGCAATAGCTTTGTTTTGACGGAAAAAGTTACTCTCACAAGCTAAGTCTATACTGTGCAATCAAACAAAACGTAGTAAAAAGGTTGAGTTAAAATAGTGTCAACACTGCTAAGCAAGTGAAGTAAATACTGTACAATAAAAATTGGAGGTTCAAGAAAGAGGTTAAGCAATGTACACAGTTTAATCTAGTGTTAGACTATTTGATACGTATCTTCATAGACTACTGATCTGTGAAATTGAGTTTAATACAAATAGGGATGTAGTTATGTGCTCTTATACTGAAAGCTATTTGAGACCTCCTCCCCACCAGGTTACTCTTATACTAATCAATCAGTGCTGTTCCCATTGCATGTTTAACAGCAGTCAGTGCTCATCAGGAGCTGTGTTCCTATTGCAGCCCATGCCACTCTTAGTGAAGAAAGTGAGAGCACCATTCCTGAACTCAGTCAACATTCTGATTACTAGCTTCTGGCTGCCTGTATGATTTCTAATGACTGTAAACAGCTTGTAAAACATCTTTTCAGTCATTAGTTCTTGAATGGTGTGGCAGTGGGAAACTGGGGAAATTTTTTTAAAAGGAAATGCACATAGTAAAGAGATTGCAGAATGTGCAATACCAGTAATGTGAGCCAACTCTTAATGGGTGGTTAAATCCAGCTGCATGTCTGGTCAGATTGGTAGCACTGCAGTGTACACTTTGCTTCATTGTGCATTTTTGTAGCAGCACTGAAGTGCACACTTTATGTTGTGATGCATTTTTGTGACATTATAGGGACTAAATCTATAATCGAACCAAGAGAAAATGGTTCAATTATAGATATATACTGCTGGAAGCAAAGTGATGTGATATTCAAACACTGGAGCTTCAAAGCAGTAAAACATTTGAGAGCATACCATTTTGGATTAGTTAAGTATGGTAAAATGATGTACAATACCAGTGAAATTGGGTAATGCCCCTTCAATCCTTGTGGAGTGATTTTATATTGCTTCCAATAACAAAGCAATTGAAGTGGCAAACTAGGTTTGTATTTTCAAAATGCAAAATACTGCAGATGCTGGAAATCTGAAACAAAAACAGAAGTTACTGGGAACACTCAGCAGGTCAGGCAGCAACTATGGAGAAAGGAAAGTGAGTCAACGTTGCAGGTCCACGAACCTTCGTCAGAACCCAAGATTTGTATTTCCCCTAACCAAACTGCTCAATCAGGTGAGAACTGAGGAGAACTATGTGCAAACACAGCAAGGTGGGAATGAGAATCCAATGGATATCCTTCAAAATCAGATTTATACTGCACTTTAAACAATACCAAAATTAACTGTAATATAAATAGAACCTTAGAGGCACTGTTAAACAAGCCATTTGAGGTGAGTTTCCTTTTTTACGCAGTTTAATCCATAAACCAGATACATATTTTACTAAGTTCCCATCCACCTGAAGGCATGGATGCTTCCTGGAGTATGGTTCCATAGGCACTACCAGATCTCTGCCCTGTTCTTTGTGTCAACTTTATCATTGCGGATATTGCAGGCTATTAGAGCAATGCCGGGTCCAGTTCTCGTTGACATTCACACCCACACGTTGCAGCAGGGTTTTCATGGATAGCAGGATCAAGAACCGGTGGCTGTTTTCTATTTTATCTACTCAGAGACATTAAGGCAAATTATAACATCCTGCTTCAAATCACTGGTTAGAATGCTACAATGAATCAGATCTCAAACATTCTGATATGTATAACGTACAGGCCAATGGCATGTTTTTAATAAATTATGCTTCTGAATTGCTTTTACTGCTTAGGATATTCCAATAGTTGTAATTTACCTCCTTAGTGTCTATTACTTGCTAGAAGGAAGAGACTTAGTACTATATAGAATCATAGAATTATACAGCACAGAAGGAGGCCATTCAGCCCATTGTGTCTGTACCGGCTCTTTTGAAAGAGCTATCCAATCCAATCCCACTGCCCCGCTCCACCCCCGTAGCCCTGCAAACTTCTTCTTATTTGTTTCTCTCTTAAACGTTGTTATCGAATCGGCTTCCACCATCTTTTCAGGCAATGCATTCCAGATGCAAACAACTCGCTATGTGAAAAAAAATTCTCCTTACCCCCCCTCTGTTTCTTTTAACAAATATTTTAAATCGGTGTCCTCAGGTTACCGACCCACCAGCCAGTGGAAACAGTTTCTCCTTGTTCACCCTATCGAATGTATATATTGAAGTGTCAGTGTTATTGTTGGTTCTGTATGCTTTCATGTAACATTAATGTTTAAAATTACAGAAACTAGATATTTAATAATAATGCTTGCCTAAAGCGCCTTATCACATCATTGAGATGTCTCAAAGTGGGTCGTAGAATATACTGTGAAGTGAATGATTGTGTATTTTGTGTAAGAAAATGCAGCAGTCAATTGCGCACAGCAGTGTCTGTGAAACAGTCATGGATTGAGTGACCAAATTATTATTATTTTTTGAAGGCATTATTACCCCCAGAAAGCAGTCTGCCAATTGACTAACAGCCGGGTTCTTACTCAATAAACAGAGGTGTGTGGAGTAAGGAAACTTGCCTAAAGTTTCACCCTGCCTGGGAATCGAGCCCAGAGTCTCTCACTGACTCCAATTGAATGTTGCAAAAACTGAGGTTTCTTTTGCTGCACAATCTAAACAAAGTGAAAGAAGTTAAAGAAAGAGAAAATTAAATCAATGTAGACGAAAGTTCACCAGCCAACTGTGGGGCAGAGTACACAGGGAATATGAAGTAGGCCAGAGTTGGGAGAGCGGGGAGGGTGGAGAAGTAGGATCACAGAGGTAGGGTGGGGCAAAGCTGGGGAGGCATTTGAAGGTAAGGATCATTCTACATAACTTTCCACAAGCAGTGACTCCGGAAATGGGCTTGAATCCACTGTCTACATACACAGAAACGTGAGTTCCACCAATTGAGCCAGGTTTACATACAGTGATGATGTCTAAGCGCAGTATCTGCTTGTGGAAAGTTACATAGAGTGATACGGGCCCGAAGCAGCACCTTGGGACGTCTTTCCGACGTGAAAGGCACTTTACAAATGTAATTTTGTATTGTATTTGGCCCAAATAGGCCATGCTGGAGAAGAGGACTAGCAGCTTGGGAAATATAAAATGTAGTTTTCTAATTATGGCATATGTTGAGAAGAATTCCAAACATTTTTCTCCATTATAGATATTAACATTTAGAAGCCAATGGAAACATAGGAACAGGAGTAGGCCATTCAGCCCCTCAAGCCTATTCCACCATTTTATTAGATCATGGCTGATCTGTACCTCAACTCCAATTACCCACCTTTGCTCCATATCCCTTGATACATACATACCCAACAAAAAATCTATCACTTCCATCTTGAAAATTTGAATAGATCCAGCCTTTTGGGAGAGAGTGATCCAGAATTCCACTACCCTTTGCATGAAAAAATGCTTCCTGATTTCACTCTTGAGTGGCCTAGCTCTCATTTTAAGATTACGCCCCTTCGTTCTGGATTCCCTCACCAATATGTATAAACTAGTTTTGTAAAGGAAATCTCCACGAGACAGATGCAGGTTGAAAGGTCTGGCAACTAAAGAGGCCTTGATGGAACTGATCAGGATATTTATTTGATTAATTAACTGAAAGACTGATTCTTTATATGGCAGGTATTTGAGTGTTCTTTTACTAAATCCAGGTACAGTAATTGGATATTGCATCAGTGTGACATGCTATATCAAATAATTTTCTTCCAATTTGCTGTGTACAACTTTTTAATTCTATTTATAACATAACATGTAGGAGCAGGAGGAGGTCATTTGGCCCTTCGAGCCTGCCCCGCCATTCAATCATGGCTGATCTTCTAATCTAACTGCAGCTAATAACCTGACCCTGCCTTATCCCCAAATCCCTTAATCCCTTTTGCAATAAGAAATATATCTATCTCAGTCTTGAATATGTTCAAGGACTGAGCGTCAACAGCCCTTTGGGGTAGTGAGTTCCATACATTCACCACCCTTTGAGTGAAGAAGTTCTTCCTCAACTCAGTGTGAAAGGGCTGGCCTCTGATTTTAAGGTTGTGACCCCTGGTTTTAGTTTCTCCAACCAAGGGAAACAATCTCCCACTATCTACTCTATCATGCCCTTTGATGATCTTATAGGTTTCTATAAGATCCCCTCTAATTCTTCTATATTCTAGAGAATATAGGTCCAAATTGGTCAGCCTATCCTTGTAACTCATCCCCTTCATCCCTGGCACTAGCCTAGTAAATCTACGCTGCATCCCCTCCAAGGCAAGTACATCCTTCCTTAAATGAGGAGACCAAAACTGGACACAGTATTCCAGGTGTGGTCTCACCAGGGCCCTATACAGTTGCAGCAAGACTTTCCTACTCTTATACTCTAAT